CACACACACACACACACACACACAAACATTTAATTCACTTTTGCCGAATTCATGTGATACTCTACTGTTGACTCTGGATAAACACCCACATTGTCTTATTGTATTTAAAACATTCGTGCAAATGTCACTCTTGCTTCCTGGGATATACATTCGAACGGAGTTTACCTGGAAAGATGGGTTCCAGCCAGTCTGCTTTTGTGAAGGTTTCTCTGGGCCATCTCTTGAAGCTTGGCAGTCGTGCTACGGGTCATAGAATGTGCTTCCAAAAGTTAGCGGTTTCAGAAACAGCCCAATGTAACACATCACTTTCAGATTACTCATATACAGTTTTACAAGGACAGAACGAACGAACACCCGAACTTTATTTTCAAAAAGTCACACATTGGGCACGCAGGCCTGTCTTACATTCGGCCCTCCCAAACACTCATCATCCACACAGCAATTGTGGTTTATCAATAAAGCATGTTATATCCATTTGTTTTCAATATACAGTGAATATATTATGAGATCTTTAATTGATATGTCAGGAATCGTGGTTGGTGCTCACAATATAAACAATTTACGTTATGCTGATGACACAGTCTTGATAGCAACAAGTCAGAAAGATCTACAGGAAATGATAGACATTGTGGTGTTAGAAAGTGGAAGAATGGGCCTCAGTTTGAATAATGGGAAGACAGAAGTAATGGTGGTATCAAAGAAACAAATTATTCCTAAATGTGTAATAAAAGTCAATGGTGTTATTTTAAGACAAGTACAGAAATTTAAGTATCTGGGCACATGGATAACATCAGATGGAAGATGCATAACTGAAATAAGAAACAGAATTGGACAGGCAAAAACTGCATTTTATAAAGTGAAAAACATCTTGTGCAATATATCCTTGTCATTGAGAGTTAGAAAAAGAATTCTTGCTTGCTACATACATCCAGTTTTAACATATGGATGTGAATCCTGGACAATCGGTAGGCAGGCCAAACAATTTTTGGAGGCCTCAGAGATGTGGTTTTACACAAGAATGCTTAGAATACCTTGGACAGCCAAAAAGAGCAACCAAGAGGTTTTAAAAGAGGCGGGAGCCCGAAGACAACTTATCACTGACATCAGAAGGAGACAGTCATCATTTTTCAGCCATGTTATGAGAAGAGGAAAAATAGAACATGTTGTGACCACTGGAAAGATCTGTGGAAGGAGGGATAGAGGAAGACAACGAGAGAAGATGCTTGACAGTCTTGTTGCATGGCATGGAGGTGTGTCGGCACACGAACTGATACATGCTGCAGGAGATCGTGGATTATGGAGAGGAATGATCGCCCACGCCAGTCGGCAAGGCACCTGATGATGATGATGATGATGATGATATATAAAACAATATGCATTATATAAATATCAAGGAAAAAACATGGATAGTAAATGTATGCGGGCACACGTACACACGCCACTCATATATTCACTCGCTCACTCACTTACACACACACACAAACACTAATGCCTCTATAGCCTCAATGATTTGTTTTTTTTTTTTTAAATGGGGCTTGTCCCTTGGAGCCACGGGGTCTCATTATTTGTATGACGTTTTGGCAGGTAAACAACAGCTCTGAATAAGTCATGTGGGATGAAACCCGACAATTATGTCGATTCTTTCTATTAATTAATATGGGCCAACAGACAGAAACAAAAAGTGCCGATTGGTCTTTAAATATTAGTCCTATTATGTCTAGTCCGTTATTCCCAATACGCATAAAGGCGTAGAAAAGGGACCTTTACTTTACTTTAGTAGGCAGTAAAGTAAGTAAATTTTACCCCTCCAGGACATGACACAGAGCGATAAACACCCGGTGACACAAAATGTCACTATGCGGATAAGGATCACGGGTGGAGCGTTTAGCAGTTAGGCTATATGGCGGCACCTGGCAACGTCCTGTGGGAGCTTCAAAATGATGACTAATTACATCCCGCAAGAGGATAAAGTTTATTACTTTATTAGGCAGAAAGGAATTAAGTGATCAGTTTATAGGAAGGGAGTAAGTAAATATGTGAGGATTTAGCATATGTATATAGTTTGAACTATTATTTAATAGTCCATATTTCTGCTGTGTGCTGAAAGCGTTTGCCTGCTCTGGATGAAAAAATACTAGAACAAACAGTGGCCACACATTGTAGAGACTAGATTTTTTTTTTAAATCTCTATACCTTACTGGAGGTCAGTGATACAACTCGTGCAGTATAAGTCGGCCATTGTGACCTCTGGTAACTTTTCAAAGACCAAACAATCCCCACTTACTTTTACGATTACTATAAGGAAGCTCTAGATTTCTTAACTTCGTCTGTTCTATTGTTCTATACAATTATCCCAATCGATACTTTAACTACTGGTCCATATTGCTATTATTTTAACTCATAAAGATTTTTACCAAAATACACTAAAGTGCAAACAACTTTGACATGAAAAGTATTGTAGTATCAAGTAGATATAAGTTATCTAACAATATTATAGAAGAAGAACAGACATACATAACTGGAAGGTGGCCACCCGTGGACTGTTGTACATCATGCCCACACAACCAACAGAAGGAGATCCTGTGCAGGGGATGTTGCACCACTCCAGCATTCCATTCCTGGCACCGGCCACAGAATTGCTACAGCAGCAACTGTCTGTCGCCTGTCGGGAAAGAGGCAAAGGGTGGACACCAACGCGGGAGAGTTCAGGGTAGAATCTTTGTATTGATTGTCACACTTATACTACATGCGTACAATTCATTATATATAGTTTAGATGTTTATTGATTTGTAGACATTGTGTATGTGAGTGCTTGCGTACGTGTGTGCTAATCTAGACAATGTTACCTGACCAGATATAGGTCTTGGTAATTGGTTCCAATTTAAAAAAAATGTATTTAGCCATAACATATGTTAGACTATAGCATTATCAAATCAAATCATATCCCGGACGAGCTCCATGTATCTGTCAGGGACCTAAACTACTCTACTTATTTTATATGGCTCGCTAGGAAGGCCAGCTGACAGACTCTACTACCCAAACACACTTAAGGCGACACTCCGGCTGAGTACAGCCAATTATCTTTAATATACAATGAACATTAGACGTACAAACACTTCAACTGGGCTAAGCAGCTCCCATCCGAAGCTGCCTTGGCGATGACAGCTTTACACTCACTAATCACCCCAGGTCAGCTCCCATGGATCCCGGGGAGCACGACTCTTAGCTAGCAGTGTCTCAGTGTCAATCAATCCGCCGTCGATTGCCAAACGGGACTGCAGCGATACACGGAAAGTGTATGGCCTAAGCGCGCCCGGGCAGTGTAATCGCCATTACCAGGCGCGTCACCTATGATTAACTGCTTAAACAAATACTACCTGTAATATCTACTACACAAAGACCTTAACTCTCTCTACCATCTAGCCGACAACAATAAATACAAATACAGCCTATCACAGACACTAAATACGAATATCCTATTTGTACCTAACCGTCACTAACCTAACCGTTACCTCGTCGTAAACTGTTGTCCTGTCTCTCTCTGTCGATAAGCACACAACCGTCGTCAACAACTGTCCGCTCACAAGTCCCCCCAAACCCGCTTCGGCCCAAGCCTTTTGTATTTCCCCCGAGTTCATCGCCAAATCCGCAGCACTCCGTGTCCGGCTGAGTGAACTCGACCTGGCCTCTAAACTGGGCACGGCTTATCGCGTGACCGAGCTGTTCGTTCACACACTGAGTTTGCGCTGGAGGTCAATTGGTACAAGCGTGATGATTCACTATGAGACATTTGTTGTGCTTCTCATAGCCGAACTGGCCTCTGACAACCGCTAATAAGGCAAAATGAAAACTAGGTGATTGTTTATTTATTATTTTTTTTTTTTTTTTGTACACGGACATGATTATTAACAGTCTGCATGCCAACTTTCAACACCAGACACCGAATGATTACTGAGTTACAGCTTTTCAAATTTTGGCACAACATCTGGAACGGATTATAGGAGAAAAATTTTGTTGGAACAGTGTTACTTACAGATAATGTGGCAAACAAGGCCCTATGCACTGAGTCGCAGTAAGATATACACATAGGGACGGTCATCCTCACTGTTGTCAACGGGGCGAAACGTTCGTTGCAAAGAATGTGTCTGGCATTTAGTAAAGGGTAGCAGCCGATCTTTGCTGTAGGAATACATCAGCAATCGGTGCCTTCAGGGCTTCCTTAATTTTAGTGTTCGGACAAACAGCAGTATTGTAGACAGTGTTCACACAAACAGCAGTATTGTAGACAGTGTTCACACAAACAGCAGTATTGTAGATAGTGTTCACAAAAACAGCAGTATTGTAGCCAGTGTTCACACAAATAGCAGTACTGTAGGAAATGTTCACACAAACAGCAATACTGTAGATAGTGTTCAGACAATTACCAGTGCTGTACACAGTTTTCACACAATCAACAGTACTGTAGAGATTGTTCTCACAATCAGCAGTACTGTAGATAGTGTTCAGACAATTAAAAGTGCTGTAGACAGTGTTTACACAAACAGCAATACTATATATAGTGTTCACACAAACAACAATGCTGTAGATAATGTTCACACAAACAGCAGTACCGTAGATAGTGTTGAAACAAACAGCAGTACTGTATACAGTGTTCACAAAACAACAGTGCTGTAGATAGTTTTCACACAAACAACAGTGCTGTAGATAATGTTCACACAAACAGCAATACTGTATATAGTGTTCACACAAACAGCAAAACTGTATATAGTGTTTGTGACGAAACGACCTCAGTGTTTTCAGAAGTTAGTACGTGAAATAATTTCTTCTGATTATAGAGAGACAGAGAATTATATTTGCCATGTCCTAATTCCGAATCAATTACTAAAACCACATGGATTTAATTGTTACTAGTCCTTAGCCCGGACAAAGCAACCAAGCTTTGTGTAATGTTATGTAACATTACCTTATCTAGCTATTCGTTTTACAAGCCAGTGTCATATAATTATCTCCTGACCACAGACCTTAGGGGCGAGCAACTGGGAATAAACTAAGTATCACACCTGAGATTATCTAGCCTGAACCCGACCTTAGTGTCATAGTGGCTACATAACCAGCCAGATTGGGCCCTTTCAACTGATAAAATAAGGGTTATTAACCTGGTCAAGTAGGAAAGTCCAGACATGGCGCGTCTCCTAGACCAGCGTTTCACACCTGTCAGTTAGAATAGTTGTAAACTAGATTGGGCCACTCAAAAATGTTTGCTCAGAGGGCCGTCAAGAATTGACTGACAGGCACCTTGATAGCAAATTTGATCTGCAAAGTACTTCAGGGGCGTGGCTTAGATCATCTCGTGTAGGGTAGGGTAGAACCTAGGAAGGGGAGAAGTTTAATTTGGACAGTAGATAAATACTTATACTGCGAGCATTTGAAATTTACCTCATAGTGCTGCCAGCAAAGCGATAAACCCAGACCTACAGTATGAAGTATTTCTAGCTGGTTAAGTCTTGTTTGGCAATTGCTGGAACGTTCCCGGGTATGAGTGTATATCATTTTTAATCTTTTATTCATAGGTTAGAAGCTAGCTTAGTCTATTCTTCCTTTCCTGATTTTTCTACACATTCTTCTTGAAATAGTTCTTTGTGAGTATTCAGTTATCTCAGTTAGGGAACTGATAAACCATTCCTATTTCTTGTATGTTTGTATCACATGTTTTTCAGTGTATGTTTTCATGTGTATAAAATAAGATGTGAACAATGACATTTGCTATTATAATCATCAGGTGCCTTGTCGACTGGGAGGGCGATCATGCCTCTCCATAATCTGCGATCTCCTGCAGCATGTATCAGTTCGTATGCCGACACACCTCCATGCCATGCAACAAGACTGTCAAGCATCTTCTCTCTTTGTCTTCCTCTATCTGTCCTTCCACAGATCTTTCCAGTGGTCACAGCATGTTCTATTTTCCCTCTTCTCATAACATGGCCGAAAAATGATGTCTCCTTCTGATTTCCGTGATAAGTTGTCTTCGGGCTCCAGCCTCTTTCAAAGCTTCTTTGTTTGCATTTTTTGGCTGTCCAATGTATTCTAAGCATTCTTCTGTAAAACCACACCTCTGAGGCCTCTAGAAATTGTTTGGTCTGCCTACCGATTGTCCAGGATTTACAGCCATATGTTAAAACTGGATGTATGTAGCAAGCAAGAATTCTTTTCCAACTCTCAATGACAAGGATATATTGCACAAAATGTTTTTCATTTTATAAAATGCAGTTTTTGCCTGTCCTGTTCTGTTTCTTATCTCATTTATGCATCTTCAATTTGATGTTATCGACATTTGCTATAATGAAATGTTATTATATTGTTTCAATTATCAACCTAAAACATGTGCTTGGACTGTGGGAAAATCATGCCCATATGTGCAGCCATGTGATTTCGTTTTAATAGCTCACCATGTGCTCACTGGAAAGACAATATTTAAGACAACACGCACATATAAAATGGTTCAAGTTTTAAGCACATAACCTGCTCCACGTGTTCATGTGAAAACAATGTAAGCCAGTTTCGAAGTCTGAGTGAAGACGGACAGCAGACTTAGGAAGTCAACTATCATGACAGAACATGAGAGGGTAGGCAGGATATGTGACGTCAATGTGAGACATAAGACCGTCAGACTAGACTGGAGAGAATGTAGAAGATGAGGAGGAGAGATGTATATATACTGTATTGGTATATGCATGCTTAGTGTAAGTATAGATACTACACATATGTGTTTGTTTCACAGCTCCCGTCAGGGTGAAGACGTCTGCTCTGATAGATAGTCACATGCGCAAACCTACGTTGTGGGAGATCGGCAAGCTGGGAACAGGTGGGGAACAGGCAGAGAAAAAGCTGGAAGAGGTGGAAAAGGTCGACAGTGCCTCGCGGCTGTCAGAGGTTTATATGAAAGTTACTTCCACACATTGTTCGTAAACTTATCACCAGCATCATACCGCTCTAATCCCAGGTGCTCAGTTTTCTAGCTGAAGCATCTCATCACTATCATACCATCATCCAGTCACTGTTTGTGTAAACATTACAAACTGGTAAATTTAATTGAAATGATTGTTGGTAAATAAAGCTGTTTGTTAAGTTTTATACTACATCGTTTGTTAAATTCCAAGTGTATTCAGTCTTACCTGTTTAACTAAACAGTTAGATAAAATTACATTTGGCTCTTTAATTATAATTACCCAGAGAGGAGAAAGTCGGAGGGGTTAACTGTGTATCTCGATATCTCATTGGGTTCATCTTGATATCTATATATCCCTTCTCCTACTCCTGTGGGTACCGAGTGCAGCTGTTGTGTATTTACATACGAGCCAAATATGGCTGTTTTCTTGGATATCCAGGACTTTGTCTGAGATCAACATAGCTCGGATAATAGTCTAGTTTCTCTGGTGGAGTTGAAGTGTTGAGATGAAAATTCCTACTCATCACAAAAGCTTCAATCCACTTTGGGACCCCAGACAGTGTTTACACAAACAGCAATACGGTATATAGTGTTCACACAAACAACAATAAAGTATATAGTGTTTACACAAACAGCAATACTGTATATAGTGTTCACACAAACAACAATACTGTATATAGTGTTTACACAAACAGCAATACTGTATATAGTGTTCACACAAATAGCAATACTGTATATAGTGTTCACACAAAACACATCCTTCCTGATGTGCTACGGTATCGGAATTTATTTGCAAGGTGGGTGCTCAAAATAACGAAACACTGGTGCTTGTCGTGAACTTGTACTGTGCCTCGAAGCAGAAGGGGATGGTTCCGTATCAAGAATTGTTACTGGAGAAGAAACCTGGGTTTACTACAACGAATCAAAAACAAACACAGTGAGCAAGGAATTGCGCCATCCCTCTTCCAAAGAGGTTTTGCATGCCGCCATCTGAGAGAAGATTATGCTGACTCTTTCAGAATTGACGCGGCGTTATTTTAGAGAACTATATACCAGTTTGGACAGTATACAAATCTTCTCATGCCTCCTCTTCGACCAGCAAACAGATCCAAACGACGTGATCTTCTGACTAAAGGTGTCCTTTTGCAACATGACATTGATTGGTCCTATACTGCCGGTGCATTGGTTGAAACCATCGAAGTCATTCACTTCAGTGCCTAACACATCCTCCATACTCGCAAGACGTAGTTGCGTCATTTCCGTCTGTTTAGACACAAAGAGCCACAGGGAGGAGGTATAGCACACGCGACGAACTGATTTATTTTTCTTCAGGAATCCAAGCACTCGGTGCTGGAAGACTTCAATTGAAGCTTGTCGAGAATACATTGAAAATTTCTCATTTGTTCTTTACTTTTTTCATAATATATTCGCAACATTTATATATATTTTCATAGATATCTCAACATTTAGTCTTTTTCTTCTTTTAGTTTTCAGTTAGAAAAACGTTGAAAACTCGTTCTAACAGAGATATGTAGAAACAAAGAGGAGTAAAGTCGAAATGCAAACATGGTGACATTTAGGTATGACCGATACATAGGACACCGGATTATTTCATGCACTTGTGTCTGGACTACACAGCACTGTTCGGACCGTGGCTGACTGCCTTTGGCTGACTGCTCGGCTGGCCAGAGAAGACAAAAAGTGTGATATGCTGGGCATCAGATTACTGGAAGCGGGATAATTCCATCTGCCTCCATGTACCGTTTATTATATTTCGCAGGATTAATTGGAATCGAGGAAAAACAGCAGTTGCCCGCAAGAATAAGGTTAGGCGCTCAGCGCCCATGTATCACTAAGAATCGACCAATCACAAGCCTAACTGCGCTCGCAATCCGCAAACAAATCTATGTATTTATTGCGATCGCTGTATTCCCCCCCCCCCCCTTTATTTTTTCCCTTCTCAAAATGTAATATGAACCTCTACATCGGGATCTCACAGACAAGCCTTTGCGTCCTTATTTGGGGATCGCGACGCATGTGTTATTGAGTTGAGTTGAAGCTAGAATTTACATCATAGCACTCTGGGCATTTCCATATGCGCTCCGTCACCATCTTTAGCAGCCAGCGCAGAGTACCAATACTGCTGTGCCGAGCGTAGTCTGGTTATATGTCCATCTTGCCATTCCTCTAAGTGAGGTGAGCCGGCCAGACCCTCTGGTCACACCCAGGTACA